GTTTTATTTATTATTGCTATTTATGATTAGTTTCAACAAATTGATTGAATTTTAACAAAAAAAAAAAAAAAAAAAAAACTGAAGGAAGAAAAAAAACAAACAGGAAAAAAATTCTTATTTATTGAAAAGAATAGGATAAGATAGAAATAAACGAATAATATTGATGAAAATATTAATTAGCAAAGGAAATGAAACTTTCTATAAATTTTAAACCTAAGCTAATTTATTAGTTTAGTTTAAATTAAACAAATATCAAAAATATTTTCTAATTAGGTTGTGTATGCGCATTCCGTTGCTGTGGCAATATGCGATCAGATCAATCGGATCGATTTGGCAAATCATTGCAACAGATTGATAGCTTACGAGCTCAAATCATACGACATGGTACACAGTTAAGGCGCTCTTTTTCACGATCACCAAAATTTGGCAGTTTTCGAGAATGTTCAATGAATAGTTCATTTATTAGCGATGCTGGAAATGCAACATTTGTTTGATTCAAAAAAATTTGTATAATTTCATAAATTGATTATTGTAAAATTAAGTATTTGAAATTGAAATTGATCTCATCTATTTGTAAATGCGAAACATTTCTGTGCAAAAAAAGCATTTCAATCTTTCAAAGATATAAAAATATGTTGAAATATTAATTTTTTTTTTTTTTTTTTAAATTGCAATGATTTAAAATTCTTAGCATATAAATGTAATGTGAATGCATTATGTTACTATTTTCTTTTTTTTTTTTTCCATTGGGTACTTCTAGAAATAGCTAAATTTAATTTACTCTGCAAATATAATTTCAAAATAAAATTTCAAACTAAATAAAATTTTGCTCAATGCAAACAACAATAACTCGTTGCCCTGCTTTGCCTTACCCAAAAACAAAAAAAAAAAAAAAAAAAAGAAAAAAATTAACATATTTTGAAAAGACAAAAAATGAATAATTTCTACTTAAATTCTAAAATCAATTGCATTTCTTATCATTCTTTGAGTATAAATTAACATCAAAATTGCTTAGTAATTTGTCTCATTCCTTGGAGAGAAATTTTTTTTTGTTCTACCAATCATTATTTATTTATTATAATTTGAATTTAAATTTTACGATTGGCTTATTTTTACCATTTATTATTTCAAACTCATTTGTATATCCCAAAAAATCTTTCCATTATTTTAGTAAAATTTTTGAAAGACTTTTACGAAATTTTTAAAAACAAAAACGTTTGCAAAATTGTCAACAGAAATGATTTGAGAAGTTTTTCGGATCGAAAAAAATTTCTGAAGATATATTGGAAAAAATTAACATTTCAGAATGATCAGTATGCATTTAACTCTAATAATTTACTTTTTTTTGTAGGCTTAACTAAATGCAATAAAATAAATTAACTTTCAAAAAAAAAAAAAAATCATGCTTGTTAGGCTTTTAAAAATAAAAATTAGCTATGCCATTATTTTCAATTTTCTTTCTTTTGCATGCAAATAAAATTTAATTTGAAAATGTTTTCCAAATAAATGTGAAAAAAGAATGAAAAAAAAAATACGACGAGAAAATTTCACAGAACAAATTTTTTCATTTTCAAAATAAAAGAAATTCTTTTCAACAATTTTTGTTGATTTTAAAAAAAAGTTCTTTCAGGAGGAAATGTATTGGAATTTTACAATTAAACTATTTATGAAGAATACAAATTCTTTTTTTTATTTATTTTTTGTTTTTTTTTTTCTTTCATTTCAATCAAAAAGTCAAAAAGGATGAAGAAAGGAAAAACAAAGAGAAAGAGAGAGAGAGAGAGAGAGAAGGGGAGTGTGATAAGAAAGGAGGTAGACAGAAAATAAAAAAAACAAAGATGAAAAGAAGGAAGTAAAATGAAAAAGTTTAAGAATGCTTATAATCTTTAAAATTCGAAAGATTTATCTTCCTTTCTTTCTTACTTAGTGTAATTAACTTAACAACACATCTGTTCCGGTGATTGAAGTGGCTCATTTTATCAATCCCATTTGTCTTATCATATTTTGTCTTATCTAATCTTATTTACTGCTTACAATCTGTTAAAACAATCTCATATAGATATTTCTAAATTGTATGTAACAAATAAATATGTAAGCGAATATAATATTGTATGTGAAATTTGTGACATTTTGGATATTATTAAAGAGTAAAAATCAATAATTTCATTTTGTTTAATTAAATGAGTAGTTTAATTACTCATTTAGCAAATAGTTATTAGGAAATAGTTACAAAAAACGTATTATATATGAAATTTATGATTCCATATATCATTTTTTTTTTTTTTCAATCATCTAAAAATAAGACTCAACAATTTCATTTGTATAATTTATTAAAAATATATTTAGCATGAAATTTATAGATATCAAATCAGTATTACTTTAAAAATAATCGATAACAAATATTACTAAAAATTTAATAATACTAAAAATTTTTTCGTTTTTATACAATTATATATTATAAAATTTGATATTTAAAGAAAAAATATATTAAACAGCAATGAGCAATAATATAAACAACTGCTATGTTTGTAAAAAAATCATTGAATATTTTATTTCCTTTTTTTGTGTAGTCTTTTTTTTTACTAGTCATTTTTTAATTTTAAATTAATAAATTTTAAATGTTTTATCCAACTTTACGAAAATGTTAATTGATCTTACATATTTGCAGTAAAAAATAAATCAGTGATGGAAATTGGATGGTATATTTAAAACAAGTTTCTCTGATGTGTGTGTATCAGCTAGATGACAAAATAGTTGGTGACAATTTTACTGAATGTATTTATATTTCTTATGTCAAGCTATAGATAATCATAACAGCGTTCTTTTTTCTTTTTTTTTTTTTTGAAACATTCGATGAATTTAAAAAAAAGGATTTCATTATAAATCATTTTATGTTTGGATCTTCAATTTCTTCATTTTTTTTTTCTTAAATTAAATCACAATAGTAAAATCAAAAATGTCAAAAATATCAAAGAATCAAACACTTTGCAAAATTGATTGATTTCTGAATTTTTTTTTCAAATCTTAAAATGAACCGTTGTAAATTAATGCTGCAAAAAACATTACAATCGTTTTAAAAATTCAAAAAATATTTAATTATTTTATTATTCTGCAGTTTTTTTTTTTCAATTAAAAATCAAAAAATTGTTTTTTGTGAAAATGAAACATTGTTTATTGTGTACGATATATATATACCAACAAAATATTATTAATATTCTATGCCAAATTAATGAAGCGCTAAAATTCCTTTATATGAAAATTATGAATCAGTTTAAAAACGAAGCAAATTATGTTGGAAAAATTCGTAACTAATTCTGTACTGCATAAAAAATCGAAATTGAGATATTTTTCTTTCTTTTTTTTTCTAAAACTAAAAAAACTTTTAACTCTCATTTTTTACTACGAAATAATACAAACGTTCAAATCTAAAAACTATGCAATTATTTATTAAAAATTCTTCTTAATTTTTGGGAACAAAAAAACAAAATGTAGAAAATGTACTTCATGCAATAAATATGGAAAATTTTTGTGATCGATAAACCATTAATTTCATTTGATAAATTTTAGTATGTGTGGTAAAATTAGATGATTTCGAATTTCTTGCTAATTTAGGATAATATTTTATGATCAGCGAATATTTCCAGTCGCTTAGATTGGATGTGCATTATGCACTATCAATAAGTGATTTTGATCGATTAGTTAGAGTAACTAATTATACATAATCGAAAATTATAATATCTGTTCTATGACCTTTCACCTAATTGAATATATTTAATTTTATATGGAAGAGTAAAATACAAAAAAGGAAAAACTTTAAATGAGGTAAATTTCAAAATATTTGTAATTTTAGGACAGAAACGCGTGTATATATAATGAAATTGAATTATACTACTAATTTAATCATAAAATGAATGAGATACAATTCCACGCGTATTCCACGCGATTTGATTGCGGTTCACGTCAACCTTAACATACTCGTAAAATTTGTAAGTTTCATTGATTTTGAATATAATCCAAAATTTCCTTGAAATATAACATCGTTAAATTCTTCACAAAATCGGAAGACAATAATTATATCATTCGCAATTCATGAATAAAAGATGAAAATTTTAAGTCCGTTAGTTTGATTAATCTGATGTTTTACGATAAATCTATCGATAACATTTATATTTATGTAACCTTTTCTTCAACGGCATTTACTTTTACGTGAAATTTTCTTTGATATCACACACTTTTATATGAAATTTTGAAAATTCGATAGCACTTACTTTCACGGAACTCGTGGAACTTTTTCCTAGGTTATATGTTGTGAAAATAGCAATGTTTACATTCATGTTTTGTCAAATAAAAGGAAAAAAACTAAGAATTTCAGACTTTGAGATTATGTAAGTTAGTATAAAAGATACTCTCGAATGTTGAATAACATTATATATCTACTTATTGCTATCATTTCTTGAAGTTCACATCGTATTAGTAGAAAAAAAGGGTACGTTTTTACATATGATTCCTTAATATTACAACTGAAATAATTGAAATAGCATTAAGCTTATATTAAATCAAAAATATATTGCTATCAAAAAAAAAAAAAAAACAAGAATAAAAAAGAGAAAAAACACATTCAGTAGTATGAAAAATATATAACATTTCGTTTTTGACTTTATGATTGATATAATTAATAAATAAAACTTAGCCTAAAAATACATATTCAATAGTATATAAATGAAATAATTTTTCCATTTTATTTTATTTTATAAATAGTTCCATTCAATCCATTTAATTTTTTGATGAGAACAAATCAACATAACCTTTAAATTCTTTTAATAGCAGTATACAATTTCATTTTAATAAAAATTTAATAAAAACTTTAATAAAAAATTTTTAAAGTATTAAAGGTTATACAATGTTATCATTACGTTTGTAAAGTTAACTTTAATAAAAATTTAAGAGATATTAAAGGGAAAGAAATTTATTCAAAAATTACGATATAACAATTTAAACATTCATTTGTTTGCTTTCTTTCTATACATTACTTTCAAATTACTTTCATTAAAGTAAGGATTATCATATGTTGTATGTATTGGCAAAAGCCATAAAAATGGATTATAGCCAAAAATAGAGCAAAAATTATGCCAAGCAGAGCCCAAATCATAGGAGATATTATCAATTTGATGGTGATAATGATCACTATTTGCATCACAATATTGAAATCCTACACTTTCCAGTGTTGTTTCATTACGTAATAATGAATATATTAATTGACCCAAAAATATACTAAGCGAAATACCACATATCTAATAAATTTCTTTCCAACATTTTAATTGGGAATTTAATAATAAATTCAATTATATAAGATAAATTTCATTATTTAAAGCAAAATAATATTTAAATTGAAGAATGTATCTGATACGTGTAAAATAATAACAATAAAAAAATTTTTTTTTTTTTAAAGTATAGAAGAAATATCAATTAAAAAAAATTAAAAAAGCAATTTCAAAAAACAAAAAAAGAAAGAAATTTAATAATTACCAAAGCATTGAGTATACCAGAAGCAACTAAACATGTTGCAAAAAGTCCATCGATAGATGGCGGAATTTGTCGTACATATCCTGGCATTAATGCATTTAACATTTCTGAATTCCATTATTATATTAAAATAAAAAAAAAAGAACTTTATTAAATTTTTTAATTGTTAATAAAAAATATTACTACATAGTAAATTTAAAAATTCTTTTTTGTTCAAATTAACATTTTTTAAAAATTAAAAAATTATAATAAAATTACTAAATTATTATAAATTTTTTTTTACTAAAAAATTTTTCACATTTACTAAAATTATATTTGGATAATAGAATGAGAAAAGAGAAGATAACATTTATATCTTAAATTTTTCTTTCCTTAAAAAATGTAAAAAGTTAATTAAACTTAATGAAATTTTTTTCTTTAAAGCATGGACATAATAAAAAAAAATCTTCGCAATAATAATATAATTAGTTATCAATAAAATCAAAATTATTGTTTTTCTTTCTTTTCTTTTCTCATTAAATTTACCTGTAAAACTCCAAATAACAGTTGTTGTTCGTTGAGATAATGCTGGCATAGTGATGCAAATAGCATAAACACAAAGTATTACTGACCAAAAAAGGAAGAGTAGAAAGAATTTATGATTATGCATATGAATGCAATGACCAATTATTGGACAGTGATGATCCATACGAATTATACAACGATTACATCTGTGTTTAATATTAAAATTTTGTAAACTAAAAAAACTATTTGAATAATTTATTAACATGTAGATAGATAGTAGTAAATTAATGTTACCTTAAATATGATTTATAGTAATGCTAATTCAATTAATTATATCGAGTAAATTATGAACATATTAATTCAATAAGTGAGAAAAAATCATTGCTAAAATTTTAATCTATGTTATTATTAAAATATTTTTATTATCTAATCCGAAAGTTAAATAACATTGTTATCAGACATTATAAAAATGACATTATGAAATCCTCTCCTATCACTAAATATCACAGAGTTATAGAACAAATATTGACAGTATTCATTGGGAAGGAAAATTTTTGAAAATCAAATTGGAATTTCATCAGTAGTAATCATGCCAATGATAATAAGGTCAAAATGATAATTCGCTCTGAAGTAATTTGTAGTAATGCTTTTAGTAATTTACCTCACTAGCTTCAAAAAAAAAAAAAAAAAAAAACGAAAATTTATCCTGAAAATGAGCTTTTACCTGCGACAGTGATGTGTCCTATTTGGTTTGATCACTTTACAATATAAGCAAAATGGTGGACATTTAATATCTCCACCTTCTGTTGACATCGTAACATAACGTACTGGTAATTGTTTTTCAGTAGCCTCAAGAATAAAAAGGAGAAAATCAAAAATTTTTAACAAAATTCTAAAATTTATGCTATTTTCTTTATTATAATAAATCGTTTCGAAAGAACTTTATCGTCAAATGATAGTAATATGAAAAAAGAAATGAGCACTTTTGCTCGAAAAATCGAAGACTTACCTTAACAACAATTGTTTGAAATAGGTGAATGATTAACTAGCAATGATATTACGATGAAACATTTAAATGTGAAAATTTCAAACGTTAAGACAAATGAACATATGAATTTGATTACTAATCTATTCGCAAAAATACATATATTTCTTTTTTTTTTGATTGTAAATTCATATTCACTAGCTAGTTAACTACTCTAAAATCAAACTTTTACCTACAATACAGTGATGTATGTTATTGAAGCATTCAAATAATAGAATTTTAAAAACAAAAAATATATTACTTTCAAATATACATACCCATCTTGCAATTTCTTTCACAAAATTACGTTTCTTAAAGATATCATCCGGTGGTATAAAATGTTTCGGAATTTCTGCCGGTGTTATAAGTGTTGTTGAAAACAGCGAACAGATAGCTAGCATCCAAATTATTTGGAAAAATATTAATTCAATAATAAGTGCAACTGTATCATAAGGAAAAATATGAGCACAAAATGATGCCGAAAATAGAATATACCATAAAAGAAATGATAAAATCCATAAAAGAAGTTGACAACGCATTGATGGATGAATAATTTCAGTGTTCAACCAGAAGCTTTTTTTATTAATATTAAAAATAAATTTATACTAACACAAATTTCCATATATTGTTGATATTTTTTAACTTAAATAGATTTATACTTTCCAGTTTTTCATTTTTGCATTTCATTGATGAATTCTTCTAAAATCAAGACCAATGTTAGCATAAAAATTGTGGGACTTTTAATTAAGCTCAGCAATGCGAAACAAGGACTTGATTAAATGAATATAATGGGTTCCTATTTGACCACTGTCATATTCACTAACTTCGACCAAATAGTATCATCAACTAATACCATTCTTAATAACTTCTTCACTTGGTTGTTGGAATGATGGTATAAAATAAAAGAACGAAACTTTCTCTGCTAATATCACAAAAATCTGATGTTCAACTTATTAAATTGCTGCATAGTACTGCACAAATTCTTTGCTAATTGAGCTATGAATGCAGCTAACAGCTGCACAACTGCGCAGCTCAAGATGACACATAATTTTAATTTCATAAATGTAGTTTATACGTCTGTAAAATCAATATTTCACTTTCCACCATCAATTAATTTCAACGTACTGAAGAAATGTTTTATGAAACTTTTTTCTGTAAGTCAATTAGAAGATGATACCAATTATAAATTTCGAACTTTCATTCATGATTATTTCAGCTGTAAAATTATACAACAGTTGAAAACTACAATATTAAATATGAAAACATGAAACATTTGAAACCAAAATATCTTTTAAAACAAGAAATAAAACAAAGAGAATGACCATTCAAAACCGTATCACCACAGTCTATTCCATTTAAATACATTTGTTAGAAAACATATTTATAATATAAATATAAATAAATATATGTATATATTTATTTATTTATATTTATATATAAAGTGGTAAAAAATAGCAAGAAAGGCAAAATACTATAAATGATGAATCAAAGACCAGCCCGCCTTATATATATATGCGTTAATCAATAATGAATAAATGATTACTGGAAATGGAAATCCCCAACTCACGCAAACTCAAAAATATTTTTACTTACAGTGTACAAAATGAGACAAGACATACAGTATACAGAAACAAAACGAAAGTTGTTTGTGTATGTATATATAAAAAACTTGTTTAATAACATATAATCTAACCGGATGAACAAAATAAAAAAGAATATATCTAGGAAAAAGCTCATGATTTGGAGAAATTAAAAAGTTAAAAAAGAAAGGCATCAAAGGAAGAGATCAACTCATTCATCGGCTGCACTCTATTTGAAGGATGGAAACTAAAAATCGATCTTCGGTGCAGGCGGTAATAAGGCACTTCAAATGTGTGAGAAGAATGTATGAATGCCTTCCTATCACATACCTTTTCCTCCTTCTGAAGAGATCAGACAACTGCAAAGTTGCATTAATATATCCCATCCTCATATACCTTCGAAAGAACATGGAACTACTAATACCACTAATTAAATGGACTCTTCTTATCTATAAAAATAATTTATCGTAGTTCAAATAGCCTATTAGATCGATCCACAGAACCCATCACCGTAATTTACAGCCTAAATCCACAGCGAAAGTATTTCCGCACTTCATTTTAGGCGCTCATCCTAAACTTGCATAACCCACAAAGGCTAATCACGATAGATAAAGTGTACTTTGGTGCAACACAACGAACTAATATACTAAATATGAGGCAAAAAATATAACACCTGGAACGAATGGACTTTACTTGTGATGGTACAAATAGTACCCAACACATCACAGACAAGGTTACCTCCGCAAGCAGATTCACAGTATTATCTAATTTTAAGTAGAAAAAATGCTAACCAAAGGTGAAGAAAAACCGGGAATAATTTTCGCATTTTCTTTCTTTCTTTTTGCATCTCTAAACTTACTATTGACTAGTTAATGTATCACGTTTTTTAACGATAATATTATGTGCACTGCTCCTCTCCCACCTTCTACTAGGAATCAAACAGCTATCACCTATGACTAAAAGTAATTCAAGATTGAAAATCATTTTACTCATATCGCGAAAATTAAATTTTCAAAGTTTAGAAAAATCATTTAAGCCCACGCGGATTAAATGAGATCATTTTGAGCGCTAAGCAGCACACCAGAAGATGTTCTCACTCCAATTTGAAATAGAAAGAAGTTACAGAAATTTACATACCCGAGGTTGCAGAAATGCCTTTGCTCAGAAAGAACGGTGAAAAGCAGGTACGAATTTCTTATAAGTCTATAAAATCAATGGAGTAGTGAGTGTTTCAAGAAGATACTTTTAGAAATTCAAAAGTTTTCAAGAAAAAACCTGAGTTGGTGGGGAAAGAGGTTTTTATAGAAATAATAAAGATATACTACTAGAGCTCCTGGATAGCTATGCCTAAATATATGCGATCTCTGAACTGATACGGTTAATATATCTATTCGGAATTGTAATTACTTCCAGAAACAATAACAGCAGGAAATACAGACTCAAGTGATTTTGAGAAAAAAATTACATTTCTTGTGAGATTAAAAAAAGTGAGTTCGGCTAAGAAATGAGTCAAAGAAATACTTTCCTGTTGACGAATGAGGTTAGCTTCGTGGTTGATGCGATGATGCGAATTCGCAGAACGTTACTCCATCGTTAGCTAGACTTAATGGGTGTGGCACAGAAACGGCGGATATACTGCTCGACTGTGATGATGAGGATAAGTCGACACCTTCAGAAATGAGGAACTGCTCAACGTCAAGCCAATTATGGCCACCAGCAATTTCATTAAATTCTGTTGGTAGTTGCAAGAATTCATCCTTCACGCCATCTGAAAAATCAAAAGATTTGAACAATTCAAGTTCCTTATCCTGGAATTCAACATTAACAAATAATATAGGCTTCAAAGAATTCATCTAGAGATGGTCTGGTCTCTTGTACATTGTATTATCCGGCAGTACTATCCAATTCTTCATATTCGAAAAATTAACAGCGCCTTTAGTATCAATAAAATCAATTGTGGTTCTCTAGTAAATATAAACCTAACTCAATTATCAAATAAACAAAGTAAATTACCTGAAAATGGTTGGTCGTGTAAAATATCAGCACCTTCTCCATCAGAAACATTGAAATTTGCCAACATATCATTTATCTCCCTACCATCAAAATTAAATTCTAGATCTTTAGCAAATGAAGCCAAATATACATCTGATTCATTTCCACTGGAAGCCGAACCCACTGCAAAGAAAGCATTTAAATTAGGTATTCCATGGACATAATGAGAAAAGAAAAACCAAAATGAAACATAAAAACACTAATGGTGTCTAACAATAGATTTGAATCCATCATTCTGACATAGGAAAATCATTAAATTTCAAAAACTGAATTCCAGTTCGCTGAAAAACTCACTTTCAAGTTCGCAGAAATCACCCACACCAACAGAATTTAATCGATCTGTTCCAATATCCTGAGATTGATAATGTGAATGTTGAATATTCATACGAATATCGCCGTCATATTGCTGTATGGGCTGCTGCTGGACGTAACATATTGGTGTTTGTTGTTTCCAAGACTGATGAGTGTTTTCTCGTGCTAATCCCTCCTCGGCTTTTTTCTTCTTCCTTAGCTCATAATGATGAACACACAATTCTGAAAAATCGAATTATTACGTGCAAATAAAGTAAAGATGTAAATTTATGGACGGCTTATCTAATCACTGCTATATTTCCTCAATTAATAATTTTCAGTTACAATAATAACATAACATACTCAATGTCTTCGGTGCATCAACACAAAGAACGGGTTGTGAGCAACACGGCTCAGCACAATAACTGAATAACTTCTGATTTAAATTATAAGAAATGTGTTGCGCGCAGTGATTGGAGAATGGAAGGCAATTATTCATGCATTGAACGGGGGATGAACCACCTTTCAGAATCGTTATAGTACATCTAAAAAAAGAAAAAAGTATCTAAAAAAAGTTTAGCCGCTTATTACAGGGAAGAAAAAATCACAAAATTATTCCGACAAAACTATTTCTCACGTTGGAATTTAAAAATCTGTAAAAATTTTTGAAAGGACATTCTGTGTCAAACATTAAAAAAAGAAGAAAATAGATTTTGATAAATAATTACAGATCCATGTTCTTTGCTTAAAAAAAAAAAATTAAAAACTGGCCCAACAATACCATGTTACACTCAAAGCTGTTTAGAATATAAAAAATAACTATCAGTTCGTGATTACAGAAATCAAAATTTTCATTTCGATTACACAAGAAAAGATAGAACTTTTTTTGATTCACTACAGCGCTTGGAGCAGTCCCATAATTGGATGCACGATCGGCTAGTGCAGCACCGACACTATTCGGGTACTGTTTGCAAGCATGCATTATCGGAGCATTCGTAACAGCTTCTTTCATTAATGCATTCTTGTCTAATCTTCAAAAATAAAGAAAAATACGAATTGTAGACCGAAATAATCCAAGCAACAAATAAAATAGAAAAACGAAAAATTAGATAAACAAATTAGTAATACCGATTTCCTTATTTACTGATGCACAATGCAATAAGAATTTTTGTGCTTAAATAGCACAAAAAAACACAAAAATATGTTAAAAACTACATTAAATCCCTCTACATTATTTATAGCTCTCTTTTACAAAAAATTTTGATGATACCTGATCTGTTTCTTGACTAAATAGACCTGCAGTGCTCCCTGAGGCGCAGGATCCGATACAGCATTACAGGCCATTTCTGACCATCTGAGATCAAGATAATCATTTTCTTCGTCTTCATCATCTGATGGCTCAAGTCCTATAAAACTTTCACTAACTAGTAAAAACTTTTGTTTTTAACCTTCCAGAGAGTTTATCTTCCTCATCGAAA